AAGAAATTGTAACAGAAAAGAAGTATAATCAAAGTACACATACTGCCTTAGCAGTAAAGATTGTTATACACTTGTTATAGTAATGTAAATGCTGACTACTTTTGGTTTAGGTTTTCTTTTAACACAGGGGGTCTTGCTCTGTTGCCTAGGCTGGAGTGCAGTGGTGTGAACATCACCTCACTGTGGCCTTGAACTCCTAGGCTCAGTTGATCCTCCTGCCTCAGCTTCCTGAGTAGCTGGGACTATAGGTGCCTGCCACCATCCCTGGCTGCTCACTACTGATTTATCTAAAATTGTGATATAACTGTAATGGAAGATGGGGAGAAGTGATGGAAGGCCATATATTAATAATTTTCATCTATTACAAGCTGACAGATAATATCAAAAATTGACAGATTAAGGATTAACAATATTAAATACATTTAGAAATCTGGAGATACATGTTAGAAGAAATAACTAAAGGAATTACAATTTGGGGGAGTAGGGTCGGGTGAGGGAGGGATCTGTTGTCATTTGTATTAAACTTCTTTGTATTGTTTTTTTAAGGGCAGATTACCATACATTACTCAATAAGAATAAATCAAAAGACAAGTTACCTAGGAGGTAACTCCAAACAAATAAAAGGATTAAAAAGTGAGATAAACAAATGAAAAACCTGATTATCTTAGGGGAAAAAATAGTGGGCATTTTTTCTTTTCTTGGAATTTAATTTTAATGTAGAATTTCCATTGACATAAAAATTTTAATAATATAAAAACATTCAAGATTTTTTTTTTTTTTTGGAGACAGAGTCTTACTATTTTGCCCTCGGTAGAGTGTCGTGGCATCACAGTTCATAGAAACCTTAAACTCTTGTGCTTAAGCGATTCTCTCAAATAGATTTTTTTTTTTTTTAGTTTTTGGCTGGGGCTAAGTTTGAACCTGCCACCTCCGGCATATGGGGCCGGTGCCCTACTCCTTTGAGCCACAGGCACTGCCCTCAAATAGATTTTCTTAAGCGATTCTCTCAGCCTTTTAGGTAACTGGGACTACAGACACCTGCCACAGTGCCCAGCTATTTTTTGTTGCAATTGTCATTGTTGTTTAGCTGGCCTGGCGGGGTTAGAACCTGCCACCCTCCATGTTATGTGGCGCTGAGCCAAAATCTTCTTTGGATATTACTAAGACACATCTTGTTCTGTCCAACAACTTCCTCTCCAAAAGTCATTGGTAACTTCTTCATTTCAAACTGCCTGTTTTTAAAAACAGCACAATCAGAATACTCATAAGCCACTTGCTAGCGACTGGCATTACATGAGACACCTTACGGAAAGCAGAGGACATTCACGACAATGAGGATGACAATAAAAGAAGCCAGTATTTATTGGGCTGCTCTTCTGTCTGTGCCAGGCACCACGCCAAACACTTTATATATATATCTCAATCTGGACAATAATCCTAAGAGCAAAGCACCCTTATTTCATCCGTACTGAGGCACAGAGAGGTCAGCTGAGTGCCCTAGGTCCTGGGGACCTGACACTGAGTTTTGCTCCAGAACCCATGCTCTTCGTAGCTGCCACTCTGCCTCTCTAAATAAAAAAAAAGCAACAGGCAGGCTACTATCCTCTATCCACAGCGGTGAAGATCAGAAGGAAGAAATGAAAGATTGTATTCAATTCTATCCATTCAATGAAAAAGCCAGATAAGGAAAGTGGGCCTTGAAGTTATGTGCACAGTGCTGCACTCATCCTCCACTAAGGATCAGAGGTCACTCACTAGCTTGTGACCTTGGGAGGAAAGTGCGTATGTGAAGGTGCACAGTGCCTAGTAGAAAGATCATGACTTTCTACACTCAGGAAGAGTGGCATGGCTGACAGAGGCTTTTGGCAACCAGAGGATAAAAAGGGTTAGACCAAACAGTTGCTCTACCACCACAAGTCAAAACCACAAGTGCTCAGGAAAAAAGAATTTGTAATGAGACATACATCCTGTCTATAAAATTGGGTCAAAATTCGTACTGACTCCAAGTTGCTGCCTTTCCTTATGGGGGTTCCTCTGGCAGGGCAGTCATGGGAAACCTCCGTGCAGGGGGGAGGGCTAACCAAGGGACCACCGAGGGACATGCAATTACTAATAGTTTCTCCAGTAGTGATTTCTGGGGGGAAATTGAGTCTTCCGGGTTTTTAGGTGCTAAACCCAGGCAGCCAGATCCTGTGCTATGGCTGGTCTCAGCTTACCAGTGCCTTCCATGCACACCTAACTATTGTTTCCTTCATTCATGCATTATTTTGTTCTTTCACTCAACATATATTTGTCATCTATCTGTCTATCTATCTATCTATCTATCTATCTCATAGCCAGTGCTTGCAGTGCTGAGCTAGGAACAGAAGAGGCACGCAGATCCTCCCTGTCTTCGAATAGAGACAGTGAGAGCTAAATCCAACCGATAGACATTTGTATTCTGGAAAGTGGTGCAGGCTCAATTTGAGAAGGCTGCCCAGTGCTTTCATTGTGGAAATGAGGGAAGTTGGGCCCAGGGATCCTCAAGTGATGCCCAAGGCTGCAGAGATCTTAAGAGGTGAAGTCAGGATGTAAATCTGAGTCCTCTGAAGCCTGCCAAATACGAGGTGTAATACTCTCCTCAGAACTGGGACGCTAAAGCAGTCCCCCTGGCACCCTCACCATCTAGGAGGGGAGTAAGGCTTGAGGGTGGGGGACTATCTTGCAAGGCAGCCTGTGGCATGCGCTCTTTGCACAACTGGTGAGTATACAGAATTCCTGGGTAAAGAAAAATTACTTCCAGCTGAGTTGTCCTTCGTGGAAAATACATTTGGGCAGCCCAGAGGGAGGGTGGGAGCTCCAAAGA